GGTGCACACCCTCACCCCCCCCCCCCCAGTAAATCCATCTCTGCACCGACATAGTCGGCCGGCCGGGTTGGCAAAATATTTCGGAGCATATTTCGCCAGGCCAACTGTCTATGAATAGCGTACTGTACTTAAGTCATTTGGCTATGGCCGCCACGAAATTTCTTTCAATATTTTACTACAAAAATTGTGCAGAGTTTTATCACTTAAGCCAAGGGGTATTAGCAACAAAATTTAAGTAAGTTAAGATTGAAAGAACTACTTGAAATGTAGAATAAGGCATTTTACAAGATATATATCTATATCTTTCTTTGATTAGACGATATTCAGTCAGTTCGTTTGATAGGTAAATCAGATATTAAACGTCACAAGCTGGGTCAACTTTTTGCCAGTCCACAGAACCCTTAAAACTTCATATTTTTGTATGCAAGATTAGTAAATTGAATCATCAATATAGATCTGAATGATTTGATGTATTTTGAACAGTGAGCTTTGTGAGACTTTGGCGTAACTGCCATCTTTGAAATTATTTTATAGATTTATTTCATTTGCATATCAAACACAATAAAATATCTCAAGAATGACAACAGGTAAAGAAAAATTGTAAAATAACTTATTTCATTGTTTAACAAGTTCTTTCCAGGGTTTATTTTAACGTGCAGTTCTACACAAAATGTGCAGTTCTAAACGCATTTGTGCAGTTCTTAAAACACAAATGTGCAGTCACGGGCCGGAGTCACCAACTAACAAAAATAGCCTTAATTAAAACAGTCTTCTCATTTACTCGTTACCCTTGTGGATGCTCCAGAAAATTCCAGAAATGCTGTCATTAAATGAGCATCAAGAATATAAACGTTTTCTGGGCGAGGACTCCAGACCCTCCTATTTTCCTCACAAATCACTTACGTGCTGGGGTAATGGAAAAGAAGCTAAAATTGGGGCGAGCGAAGCTCCCCAAAAGAGATTATTTGCTACCTCAAATGCAAATTTAAGGTTGTTATATATTGAGTGTCCATGATTCTCAGTTACATGTTTTGAAACAGTTTTTGTGAGTGGTTGGGTAAAACAAATCTTTGCCAGAACTTAAGAGCCTCTAGATTCAAATTATTTTGGGGAACACCCGGCCCCTAGCTCCCGCACCCAAAATCGAGTTTGCCTGGCCTTTCTCCAATTCTCCCACCCAACCACACCATTATTCTGTCACCTATATGCAGGTAAAAATCCTTCGACCCCCCCCCCAGTCAAACACCCGTTGCCTTCGTAACATCCCTATATGTGCAGTTCTAAATTTTTCTTAAAATAAACCCTGGTTCTTTCTCTCCAAACAGACTTGAATTATATTGCGCTTACCTTTAATTAAGGTTGCTTTCCACACGTGCGTGTGCGCCGGAAAGGTTTAAGTCGTTCTAAATTTTATATTTAGTACTAATTATCTCAACAAATACACATTAAATCATACAGAAAACTAAATTCTCACGATGTATCAAAAAATGTACACCCTTCAAAGTAGCCATAACCTTTTAAATATTCGTTGCTCTGCAGTAAGCTGGCCCATTTTATATCTTATGCAGACTTGAATAATACTTACTTTAAACATTTTTCTTTGAGTTGTGTATTTGTTCATACAAATAGAAGTTATCCTAAAT